CCCTCTCCCAGAATTTTCTGCAGACGACCAAAATGCTGAGAGAAGGAAATTCACGCTCGAGCGTCCAAACTGCCGCTCGAGCGGAGAGGCAACAACAAAATCCCGCTCGAGCGTCAAATCGCCGCTCGAGCGGAGAGACCAAAACCTGGGCAAAATTTCTAAGTTTTAAAACACGACCCACTTATTCCCAACCTGCCCAACACAACCCAAAATTCTAATTAAAAGAGTAAGGGATAGAAATGAGGATAAGATAACAACGAATCTACGGAACCGAGTCCGGATTATAGTTAAACAACAACAGGAAATATCGGGACCGCTATAAAATGTCTCTGTTAAATTGTTGATTTGCAGAAATTCACTGTACCTCAGAAATTCTTCTGTCATTTTTATGTGTTGGCTGTGGTGTGGACAACATTGTTGCTGGTCACAACTTGGTTTTATGCATATAAAGAGGCACCATTGGCCTCTGGGCCTTTACAATACTCCACTATTGTCAACTACTTAACTGGGGGTTCGAATATCCTTTCTTTTCATAATCTCATTCTCATTTGCGCATTGTAAAATATAGATACAGGGTTTGGCAATCTGTATTTCTGCTCTTGTTGATGGAAGTTCAAGCATTGAGACGCCTTTGTGAGACAATATATGTATTCAAGTACAGTCCCTCAGCTCGGATGCACATTTTTGGCTACCTTACTGGCCTATTGTAAGTTTCATGAGAATCTTATAAACTATTATATTAATTTGTAGTTCTCTTAATACATCTTCTATGGTTGTTGTAATTAAAATCTCCTTTATATCAAGAAGCAACTCCCATGATCAAAATATCCACCTGTAAACCCATGTTTTAGGGATTAACAAGTTGTGGCAGTGGATGTTATTTAGCAAGATGAACTGTTTGATAATGATAGACTGTTTGTTTAAATGGTTGCATATTACTGGAAAGACGTGTGGCTGCTGATGCTAGCTTTTGTCATGTACTCTTGAATTTTTCTACTAGATTGTTTCGCACCATACCCTGCTTGTAATTGTTCAATTTCTGACTGCTTATGACTCTCTTTTCATGTATTTTATAACTGCAAAGCTTGTAAAAGCAGAGTTACATCTTGATGATAATGGCTCTATTGCTCTTTTGCCACTTTCAGGTTGCCACTTTGACTTTATCAATGTTATTTTGGATTGATAATCTTATAGAATCAGTCATTGATGCCTTATTTCCTTTTTCTTCGTTTGAAGGGAACCAAAAATCAATCCCATACTGACCAAACTTTGTTGTGGCTACCACTTTCTTCAATGGCTGGATATTGCCTTCAAAGTCCATATTCCACAGAGCAATGACACGGCATACACCCTGGAAACTTTGGTTAAAACTGTTTCAACCATTTTTTCTACTGACCAGATATATTGGTAGTGCTATAGTAATATCTTACTAGTTTTTTTATTCTCTGCTAAGTACACAATTACATTACTGATTGTGCTGCTCAATGTTATCAATATCTTACGATTTGATATTTTTAGTGAAAGTTGCCTACTGAAATTACAGGAATTCATTTGTTGCCTCAAAACAGAGGAAAGCTAACAATGGCTGACATTGTTCCTGATCTCTGATTATTCACTTTATGTAGAGAGGATGTTTCTACATGGTTGGTTGAGAAATTATTTTCTTTATATCCATTGTTTGTCACTGTCAAGTGTTTCTTGCCATGATTTCTGGATCAATCTGAATCATCAAACAAGGGTTTTGCCCTTGATCTATTGAGTTCCTTTATATTCTTTCTTTGTTTAGTAAGAGGACAAGGCACGGTGTGCTCCTTTATATAATGAGACATGTTTCAGACATCATGTTTTGTTACTGACTTCTGAACTCATCATTATCATTAACTGTGTTTGAAGGATCCATGGACTGATCTTGAGATACTATGAAATTTGGATAAAAGCTTGTAAGCTTTGAAATAGTGATATGTTAGTAACTAAATCCATGGCAGTCTTATTATGTGCAAATAGTTGTTGACCTAATGGTGGCTTGGTGTGAAGAGTTGGGCATTTTTATTTGTAGCGTCTGTGTTATGTTGGCAGTGGAAATGACTATATCATAAAAAAAGTCTACGAATATGGAAATTGATTACAGAATTGGTCACAACTCTCTCGTAGAAACCAATCACATGTGAGAGACTTGTGTTTACTTCTGTGATTGGTTCCTGAACAAGTAGAAGAATTGCTTATCGACACAATTTTATACAGATCACAAATCAGCTTATTAACACAATTATCTATCACCTAATTCCAAGCGTACATGACAGATATTGATAGTGTTAGAAAACAATAGGATCCTTACAACATATATAAATAGTAAAATTGTGACAAGTTTCCATGGCTCTTATATTGAGCCAAAAGAGAAATATGTATGTGAATGTACTACAGTTATTGCCATGTGAAAATGGTTGGTACAAAGTGCGGGCCTGGGGCTTCTAGCCTAATGGCATTATCCCAACCTTCTCATGTGAGAGAGGTAGGGCGTTAGGGGTTCAAATCTAGCCAGAGGGGAGGTTAGGATATGCAATGGTTTTTTCAGGTCCCATCTATTCCACCTGCTCCAGCTACTTAGAGGCTCACCCGACTCTCATATCCTTAAAAGTAGATTTAGATATAAACCTGTTTTTTTAGTTAAGAAAAAAAAAAAAAAAAGACGGAAAACGTGTTCAGTAGTCTTTGAAATATGACTATGATGTGCACATGGTAATTTCAATAAGTGAAGTGTAGGGTTCAAAAAAATCGATAGAACTGGTTAAATTGATCTAATGCAGTCTAAACTAGTCTGATTTTATTAGCTTCGGTTCTAGTTAGGTTTTTGTTATTGTTTTGTTCTAAATTAAAGCGTGATATATTTGTTTATTATTATTATTTTTTTTATATGTAAAAATTAAAATAGGTTTTTGTTATTGTTTTGTTCCAAAGTAAATCGTGATATATTTGTTTATTATTAATTTTTTTTTATAGTTTTATATGTAAAAATTAAAATGTAGAAAAATTCTTGTAAGATTCGAACATTGCTTGTCATTGTAAATCATTGTAAAGTAGATAAACTTTAACCCACTTAGCCAACTTAAAACTTGTTAATTTATTTACTAACATAAATTTATATCATATTTATCATTATAATAAATTCCACCACTGTAAAAGCCAAACCGGTTTTTATAGCTTGGTTCTGGTTCAATTCCATATATTTAATGGTTTAGTTACAGTTTCAATTTTTTCTGAAGCCATAGAAACTGATTCAGTTTCTAATTTATTCTAAAGTTAGACTACTCTGATCCGTGTACACTCTTAGTGAAGTCTTACAGATGATGTTGGATAGAGTTAATCTTGTCTCTCATTTAGTTGACTAAGGTGAGTCAAGTTAGATTCTATTTATCTTGTGACTATTATTTTTATTGGCTCCGGGCACAATACTAGTTAGCTGAGTTGGTGCTATGAAATTAGAAAATAATTATTCACAAATTGGGATATTTTTGTCCTTAATTAGTGATCATTAACATAGTTGAGGGTGTTGACCACCCAGTAATCCCAAATTTCTCAAAAACATACATGCAAAAAAGCAATATCAGTGGAGTGAGCGAAATTTTCAACTGGGTGGATGATGTAGGATATTTCAGATATTATTGGATAATGATATAGAAAGCACTATCAGCATGTTTGCTTGGTGGATTTGAAGGGTGAGATTGGATTAATAGTCCATCTAAATTAATAATTCGTTATTTTTGTTTTAAATTTTTTACATTGAACTATTAATTCTAATTCTGTTAGACTATTATTTTCATTGGGGGGTTGGGACACAAATCATGGGATAACTCATCCCATGAGATTAGATTGTCAAATTACATTGTTGATCCTCTAGTATTAAATATCTTTTTTTCTCATAGTATTAATTACACTTAATAAAGTAGTCTCAATTTAAAATAAAATAATTTTATTTAATTTTTATTGACGTTTTATTTATTTAATTTTTTTAAATAATTTTTTATAGATATTTTATTGATATTTATTTTAAAATTTTGTTGATATTTTATTTAATTTCATTATTTAAATTTTAATAGATGTTTTATTTAATTTCATTATTTAATTATTATTATTTTTTAAAATAAATTTATTTAAAATTTTAATTTAAAAATAATATATATGTTTATTGATATTTAATTTATTTAATTTTGTAAAAAATAAAATAAAACAAATTTTTATTTAATCTAGTAAAAAATAATTAAAATATTAAAGATATGTTTAATATTGCTATTACTTAGTAAAGAATTGAAAAGGTAAAATATTACTATTACTTAATAAAGAATTGAAAAGAGTAAAATAGTCATTTGAGCATTTATCCTTCTCCCTAATATCCCAAACAAACATAAGATTGATATTCTATTCAACCAAATAGTAATTTCTTGACATATAATCTCGTGACTAAATAAACTTGAGATATATATTTTATCCAGTCAAATAGTCTCAGAACTATGAATCCCAAGATTACAATCCCATGGATTCCAATATCTCCTTATTCAGTTTGTCCAAACAAACATGTTGTATATATATATATATATTATAAAATATGAAATTGTATTAAGATATTTTACAAGCATGAAACTGAGCTTCATCAAGAGTGTCTCTTAAATATCAATATTTAAGTTGGGACTTGATGGCTCATGTACTGTATTGTTTATAGCCTGTAGAAAACTGGTAGTTTGGTTGTATTGAAGAAAGGAGAGAGAAGAGTAAAAACTTCTGTAAAAACCAGGAAGCATTTAACCAAATTGACCTACAAATATTGTTTTTCAATTCTCGATTTGCATTTAAGGATTGGCATGCTGCGTATCAAATCTGTCTCCAATTGCATGCGAAGGAAACCAGGCACTGACTGACATGAATTTTATTATATTCTCCAAGTTTTTTTTTTATTATATATATATATTTTCTAAACTATTATCATTTTTTTGGAGGTAAAATATATTCATCTTTTTTTGAGACTCGGAAAAAATGTGTTTGGTTTTAATTTTTTGAATTCAGTTTTCTGAAAACTAAGGTTGCGTTTGGTAGAGTTTTGTAAATATGATTTGAGAGTATGTGTTGTATTTTGAGTTTGTGAGTTGTGAAATTATGATTTGAGTGTACAAAATTTGTTTGGTTATGGTTTTTGAATAGAGTGTTGAATTGAGTTTTGAATTGTATGTGGAATTGAGTTTTGAAAGTTTGATGTGACATGCGAAATAAGAAAATTTGTTTGGTGATGAGTTTTTAAAATAGTTTTCAAAACTTAATTCAACCTATAATTGATAATCAAATACACAGCTCATAACTCGATATCCGTATTTTGATCAACAGTCATAACCAAACTATTTTTAAAATACTCAAATAAAAAAATGATTTTTTTTCAATTAATTGTTTTTCGTGTTTTTTTATTTTTAGTGAATATTTTTTAAATTTTAAGAATTTTTTTTTACTTTTTTAGATGCACCTTACTTAAATGTATCTAAATAGTAAAATATTAGTAAAAAAATATTTTAAAAAATTAATAAATAGACAAAAATATGAAAATTGTACTAAATTTTTATATATTTTTTTTGCATTTTTTGATATTTAGTGTATTTTTTAAAGATTTTTTCACAAATATTATACTTTTTAAGTGTATTTATGCTAGGTGTGTCTAAAAATTAAAAACAAATTACTTAAAATATTTAAAAAATTCATTGAAAATACTAAAATATGAAAAATAAAAAAATAGAATTTTTTAAAAAGTGGTTTTTAAAAACTAGAACTAAACAAGCTATTTTTAATATAATTATATTAATTTTCATATGACCAAAATTAATGTCAATGGTGATTGACATTGAACAAAAGTAATATACATTTTAGTAAGAAAGAATAATAACATCATTTTTTTTTTAAAATTTTTATGAGAGAATTTCATTTCAATGTAACTCTAAAATAATATTTACATATTAATGATAAACTTTATAATATTAAAAAATAATTTTATAAACTTTACTATGTATCTAAAAATATTTTTTGAACATCACTGATATATTAATTCCTCTTTTTTATTCATATGACTAACAAATTATTAATAAAAAATGATTTAAGTGTTATGTGAATTAAAATAGAAAAGTTAGCATAATTATGTCAAAAGTGTGAATTATTATTATTATTTTGTTTTTGACAACCTTCCCAAACCCAACTAGTGATCAGGACCGGCTTTGGCCTAAGGCCAGTGAGACCTGTGCCTTAGGTCTCAAAAAATTAGCTCCGAAATTTCGTAAAGTGTTATAGGCCCATTTTTTTTAGGGCCAATTTAAACGGCTCCAAAATATTCTATTGGGTCCATATTTATAAGTGTGGTTTGACCCATATTTATTAAAATTAAAATATATACAAAAAAGTGTTTGGAGCCTAAGAAAACAATACATACATGATTCATCTGTTCAGTGCTCTCAATCTCTCTCTTTCTTTCCCCTCTCTCTCTCTCTCTCGGTGATGA